TATTTAACATTCAAGCATTCAAGTACATAAAATCAAAATCAATAAATAATACAAGCAATTTCTATCACTTTCAACACGTTATACACATTGTCATGCTCATTATATATAAAATGTTTATAACCATAAACAATACTCATAATTTAGTAAACAACTTAACAATTTTGATAAGAAAATTCACAAAAGTCAAAGAAAATGATTAGAAACCCCTACCTCTAAAAATTGCAAAAACTCCCAATTTGCCGAATCCAAACCCTAGAATTCAAAATTCTTAGGGTGCACCAAAACCACCTTTGCTCCGATCAAATCAAAGATCTCGACGCGCTCTTTGTTTTGCCTCAAACAGCTCTCAAAAATACCAAAAATTGAGGGAGAAATCTAAGTTTAAAGATTTGCTTGGAAAGAAAAATGAAATAAAGGGAAGGGGAAGAGAAAGCAGCGTGAGAGAGTGAGGGAATGAGAAAATAAGGCATACCAAATGGCCTTATGCTATTAAAAATATGAAATGGCTGGTGGGTCCCACCACCTTTTTCTTTTTAAATTTTTCTTTTTAACTTTATTTTTACATCACAATTATATATACACATTTAATAATTCACATCCACATAAATATAATAAATAAGATGCTTGAGGTGCAAATCGACCCAACTAAAAATCCCTATAAGCAACAATTTCGGTAGCGGGTCCCACACAGGACCGTCCGGCCCGAAAAATGAAAAAAATGCAAAAATGGTAACCTTGGCATTTCAAAGAGTTCTGGACTCAATGAAATGTCCCAACTAACCCTCGGACACAACCGGCACGCAAAATGAGAAAAGACGTGAATGCCCTTGCATGAACGAAAACCAAAAAACTTCCAGAAAAATGGAAAATGGCGAAATTCAGAAATATTATAATCTACCTTCCTTAAAAGATTTTGTCCTCAAAATCTACTCTTCTTAAAGAAGGAGACCTACTGCCACACACCTTCTCGAGAAACACCTCACCAAACCGCAGAGCTAAAAACTCAACGACCTTGTTGCCTCTAACACCCGATGCCAATAGACAATCACACACTGCCGCCAGAAAACCCAAAGCTCACCATCCTATAAGCGTACTCACCATTCACAACATCATACACAAAACTTGCTAGATTCAACACTCGACTTAAAACCAACATTGGTCCCCTCTATATCGCTACACAAGGCTTTGGAGCCAGAAAGAAGAATAGTCACAAGACCCCTGAATATGACAACATCCTAACTCAACTCATCCTTTAAAGGATGCATAAAATCCCAAACAATGAACCCTATCCATTTCACATTAATCAAGCTCGAACTCAAATCTACATGTCACTGTCAAACCAATACTCGCCATCTAACACACATCTAATCTTACCAACGACTATTACCCCCACTATACGACAATCATTACACTTATAACCTCAAGATTGCTAAACAATGAATCCCCAATGGCTGCATAGACATTAGTCACCAAAACAGTACAATGCACTATCCCGTACTCAGGACACAATCCTCAAAACAGATCCTCGATAATCAAGTGGTCGCACCACAAACCTTTATCGGATACTTGGTCCCACTTAACACATCTTGTCACCCAAGACTAACCACCTGAATCCACACCGTTACGCCGACATAACACACGATACCATGCTCTCACTGCCCCTGACAAATCGAAACAATCATTGACCTTTGACCCGACATCGTGCTACAGAGGAACTGATTCAAGAGAAATGGTGGGCCAGGCCATTCTCACCATCAATTTGGTCTCAACATAGACGTCGTTTCTATCCTCAAGTCCAACCTCAAACACACTCTTACACAATCCACAAGACAACCATGAGATCCACTCACTATCAATCCATCGTCCTACGTAACCTCAACAACTATACAGTCATACACCTGCTCTAAAAATCCTAATCATACTTTAATCAAACAACCATAAAAAACTAAAAGCAATACGGCACCAAATACCACAGTCATCAACTAGCATAAAAGATTTATAATCTCCTTTTAACACCTATACCAGGTAAATAACTCCATAGCATTACTCGATTCAATTCTTACCTCGTCAAAACACACAATGTAACTATTTCATGCCTAAAATCTCAAAATCAAAGTCGTTCATATTATTCCTCAATAGAATCACACATTCATTTTCTCTAATCACAAAATTCTAAGACAACATCACACACTTACCAATATTTTTACTTATAAAAAAAAATTCTAAGACAACATCGACACTTGTCCTCAAGGCACTGCTCGAATCAAACGCTTATAAAAACTTCCAAGTACATGACTCACATCACATCACCTAATCGTCCTCAAACCGCTATTCAATGCACATTCCCTAGCCATCTCTAATAGTACCAAACACCGAAAACACAATTCGTATTCGGCAACTCGTGCCTCACATACCACCGATCAAGACCACTCATAAAACAAACGCTACTAAAAACCAACGACTTTATCTCCCTCCGTAGGAGTGAGTCGACCAAACTAACCAAACCTTTACTGATGAACTCTAACAACATAACAACCACACACAGGTCCGTCCACCCATGGACGCGCACAACTCGTAAACGGAGAACAAGACTCATGATAAACGACGTCCTTGCCAGGACTAGAGCAAATGGAAAAGGTAACGACCCCGCTCTCACAAGAGACTGACCACTCGTACCTGAACCCACCCAACACCCTATCACACGCTACTCACCAATCGTCCAACCATGGATACCCAATCTCACCTAAGACGAAATGAACTCCCTACACACAAGGAGAAGAACCAATTGAAACACACATAGGACTACGACCTCGATTCTAGGCGACCTAACCACTAACGGACTGTCACGTTCTATCAACACAGAAACCACGCATACTATACACCGCGATACCCCTGCTAATCAAAACCAATCAAGTAGGAGCACCGACGTTCATGACACACTAACACTAGAAACAATCACAGCCCTTCGGACACCATATCCCCACGTCCCGTGCTACCTAGAATCAATCACTCCCAACTAACAATCTCTACTCTATAAAACGACACTTTACCATCCATTCCCTCTCTACCTTTCTGGGCGACACTCCTTCAAATGCCATGCTCATAAAACCCGTGACCTCAGTCACAACAATCCACTGATTCCTCAAAAGAAAAAGGTGCCTATTTGGTAACACCGCTCTCGCTGGTTCTAAAAACTAAGCCGTTCACAATCACTTCAACTAGCACACAATCCCATCACCTACCTGACAATATGCAACAACACTCACAATTCTAATCTATCCTTAGATCATACTTGAAACCATTATGCTCATCAATGCTAAACATCACACTATAACTCCTCTACTGCCACTCATTTGTAACAACGGTTCAAACCTATCACCCTACCAGACCATTAAGCTATAACTAAATGATTCTTCTTCAAACATCCTTAAGGTAACACCATCAAAACAAGAAATAACCATTCCTCTCGATACTCCCCCCACAACAACCACTATTTACCACTAGGAAAGAACCTCCATACGGCAATGCCATGCCGACAAATCCTCAAAATAAAATGGGCACAATCTCAGAATGCTCAACACCCAACAGTCTCCTCAAAACCACCAACTATGCAATCAATCATTAATATTTAACCAACTACTTAAACCACTATTTCTAAGGCGATCTACATGCCTAAACAATAAAACTCAATACCCTAGGTTCAACACCATTACCTCCCCTCTTCGTCGTTCCTCATAACACCCTTGGCCCCAACAAAGGTCAAATGGGGCTAACAACTAAACCCACAAAATCAACCTCGTCTCAATCATTCTAATCACCAGTCTACCTTTTCGAATCCTCAAACACCAAGCACAATCTCCTAATACCTCAGACATAACATAAAATCCAACTCCAGTTCACAACTTTCAAATCCTAGAACACAGTCTATTTGGTAACACCATACCTACCATCAATCACTTCATCCGTAAATGACCGAGCACTTCAATGACCTCATGCAACCTGCCTTATAATGTAATCCTGCTCTACACAACTAAAACTAACCACTATACACTGCCTTGAGACTCTCTTGACAACCATGACAACCTATAACCCCACTCATCCACCGAACCATGTAATCAACTCACTGAGAGTTAATTACCCGTAACACGCTCCTATAACTATCCAAAATGAGAATCACTCCTTGACAACCCAATCTCCAAAACAGACTCTTACAAGACAAAAAATGCTCCATACCCTACAACCAGTCCTATATCACCCCAGACCTACAAAATCCAACAAGTACCCACGACAGTCAGAACCAACACGCCTCCTCAGACCGTACCAGAAAATAAACATCTATATCCTATAGACTACATTCGTGACTCAAACAATTTTTGTCACACCTACCACAACTAGTTCGAAAAGAACCTACGCACCAAACCGTGACCCAAGTCATAAACCCTAACCTCCTAAGGTCATACCTTTCTCCCTCGAAACCCTCACTCATACACCTGACCTCCACGGTCACAGGAACCCATCCACCGATGCATGAAACTCACACACTCTACGGACACCGTGCTATAAAATATGAACCCATTCTAAAGTTGTGCTCTAAGCACCGCACAAAATGCATCAAGAAAATCAAAATGACCACACACCAAATAACTCAATCCACGAGCTAGAACCCCACGCCATTCGTTCGATAAGAATCGGCACCCAAAAACCTTGGAGCAACCAAGCTCTTCACCTACTCAGGTCAAAACCCACACAACCGTCTACGTCGCTACAAGTACTTTATCGTACTACCGACAATCCTAGGCTCGACCGCATATGCACATAAATATATAGATATCTATATATAAAATGATTGTAACCCACAGTACCATATGAAACATGCTTGCACATACCGTGCTCACCATTTGTCATATTATCACTAAAATGAAACTGCACACATTGTGCTTACCACTGCCGTCACCACATTCCTCATACTTGTCATCTTATCACAATTAACATGCTTTCAAATAACATGTACACTTCATTTATATATATTGGCATTTAAACACATAAGCACTTAGCAAATAGGTATATATGTCAAACATTAAACATTAAACATTAAAATAGGAAACGAGGAAGCATGCTTCTTAAACAGTTAAACACCATAACACATAAGCACGTAAACATGCAATTAAACTTCCCATGCAACCCTGGGTAGGCCTCTACCCGTCGTCCAATGGTATTCGAACCATTGCTCTGATACCAAATTTGTAATGACCCGAACCCGAGGGTCCGAATCGCTAACCGGGTCCTTACCCGAACCCGAGATCAACTAAGGGCACTACCGTCCTTTCCTGTGTCAATGAATAATATACTTGTCATCCCAGGGTTTATAAAAAATAATAATAAATAAATAATAGTAATGAAATGAGATCATAGGTACAAAGTATGTCAAAACGGTCTACTAACCCATCGAACCCTGTGGAGGAGCGTCGTTCGCCACCTTCCTACCGTGTCCTAAAAAATGTTAAATAATGGGGTGAGCTAAACGCTCAGTAGGAGGTGCCTAAGACATACCTCTTATGACCCCGTGAATCCACATAGAGAATAGAAAGTATGATAACGGGATCATATCTCGGGAGTCGAGTAAAACCATTGTATCATCAACAAACATACATATATCAACCAACTACCAAATGCACCAAGTATGCCAATGATATGCCATGCCATGCAATGTCACTCATCGTTTCCGAAATAATACCGTTTTAACTTACAAACCGTTAATGTAATCTGACCCAAGACACCTCCTTGGTGTCACGAAAGAGGGATTAGCTAACTATCCACGACCACAACGCACCTCTAAAGCGTTGCATCCGGCCTACTTAACTCAATCCCTAATCCTCACTAGACTACATTGACACCATGGACCACTAGGAGCCTCCTAGGTGTACGGTTTTCACAAACACTTTCTAAAATAATTTTCCCAAAATTATTTCATTTCATTTCAAAACAATTTTTTATTTTCTTGCCCAATGCAATGCATGAATACTTCATGCTTTGATCACCATACCACGTCAAGTTCATAATTGTATACAATTCATCTATATCTCATTTGCATGCTTTTGGAAAAAATAAATTAATAAACTCTCAATTAACAATTTTGACAATATAGTATTTGACATTCAATCATTCAAGTGCATATAATCAAAATCAATAAATAATACAAGCAATTTCTATCACTTTCAACGTATTATATACCTTGTCATGCTCATTATTCATAAAATGTCTATAATCATAAACAATACTCATAATTTAGTAAACAACTTAACAACTTTTATAAGAAAACTCACAAAAGTCAAAGAAAATTGTGGATTAGAAACTCCTACCCCAAAAATTGCAAAAACTCCCAATTTGCCGAATCCAAATCCTAGAATTCAAAATTCTTAGGGTGCACCAAAACCACCTTTGCTTTGATCAAATTGAAGATCTCGACGCGCTCTCCGTTTTGCCGCAGACGGCTCCCAAAAATACCAAAAATTGAGAGAGAAATCTAAGTTTAAAGATTTGTTTGGAAAGAAAAAAGAAAAATGAAATAAAGGGAAGGGGAAGAGAAAGCAGCGTGAGGGAGTGAGGGAATGAGAAAATGAGGCCTACCAAATGGCCTTATGCCATTAAAAATATGAAATGGGTGGTCCCACCACTTTTTTCTTTTTAACTTTATTTTTACACCACACTTATATATACACATTTAATAATTCACATCCACATAAATATAATAAATAAGATGCTTGAGGTGCAAATGGACCCAACTAAAAATCCATGTATGCAACAATTCTGGTAGCGGATCTCACACGGGACTGTCCAGCCCGAAAAATGGAAAAAATACAAAAATGGCAATCTTGGCATTTCAAAGAATCCTGGACTCAATGAAATGTCCCAACCAACTCTCGAACACAACCGGCACACTCCACGGTGTCCAGCACGCAAAACGATAAAAGATGAGAATGCCCTTACAAGAACGGGAAATTTTTTTAAAAAAAGTAAAATAAAAAATGACGAAATTTAGAAATATTACATGAATATGGTGTCCATATGTACATACAATATCCGAAAGTTCTATACACTTACATCATGTCATTGTGATTTTAGAATTGTGTGATTGTGAAGCTATTCAGTAACTTCAGTTGGCGTGTTTTATAGTTTTACTTGTGATTTTAGAATTGTGTGATTGTGAAACCCTGCAAGGGAAAATAAAAAAGAAAAAGAAAAGAAGAATGTAGAAAAGAATACTTTAGAAAACTATGCATTGTGAACTTTTTTGACTGTGTATGTGTACCACAAATATTTCCAAAATTTTTGACCAACCAACTTATCTTACTATTCTTCTTACATTTATGTCTACTCACACACGGGTGTCCCGCTTGTAATAATAGAATCACACAAAGAAATTTAAACTGGTGAAATACATTGAATTGACAGAACTAGCTTAAAACGTGTAATAGTGTATGTCACAAAACATTGTCCTATAGTTAAATTAAAACTTTCACCAGCTAAGGCATTGGAGAGAAAATCATTGAACATGTATTATGTCCCGTTTTTGTTGCTTCCATTTCTTCTCACCCAATTCTGCATTTCCATTGACACTATAGGCCCGAACCATTCTATCAGAGACGGCCACGGCGACATATTAGTCTCCAATGGAGAAAGATTTGCGCTTGGGTTCTTCAGTCCCAGCAATTCTAGCAAACGATACATCGGAATTTGGTACAACAAAGTTCCAGAACAAACTGTAGTTTGGGTTGCAAACAGAGACGATCCGATCAATGATACATCTGGAGTTTTGTCCATAGACAAAATCGGAAACCTCGTTATACACAATGGAAATGATAGCGTCCCCCTCTGGTCAACGAATGTCTCGGTGGCAGCTCCGGCGAACGCTTGTTCAGCTCAATTGTTGGATTCAGGAAATTTGGTTTTGCTTCAGGGTGCTGACAAAAGGGTTGTTGCATGGCAAGGCTTTGATCACCCTACAGATACTTTGCTTCCTTTAATGAAAATTGGGGTGGATCGGAGGACTGGTCTGAACCGGTTCCTAGCGGCTTGGAAGTCACCCAATGACCCGGGAACTGGGGAATGTTCGTTCAAGATGAACCTTAATGGTTTCCCACAGTTTTTCTTGTACAAGGGTTCAGTCCGGTTATGGCGAACCGGACCATGGAATGGGCTTAGATGGACTGGTGTCCCGGAGATGACACCTAATTTCATCTTTAACATCAGCTACATTGACAATCAGGATGAGGTCTCCGTGATGTACAGTATACGTAATGCCTCAATTTTTTCAAGATTGATGGTGAACGAGTCTGGGACTGTTGAAAGGCTCACTTGGCATGAGGGAGACCGTAAATGGGTCGGATTCTGGTCCGCCCCGAAAGACCGATGCGATGATTATGATTTTTGCGGTGCATATGGTGACTGTTACCCACATGATGCTGGGGATTTCGAGTGCACATGCTTACCCGGTTTTGAGCCTAAGTTGCCACGTGATTGGTACTTGAGGGACGGGTCGGGTGGATGCGTGAGAAAGCGAGACGCGTGTGGAAATGGAGAGGGGTTTGTGAAGTTGACACGTACTAAGATTCCGAACACTTCTGGGGCACGTGTGAATATGAGTTTGAACTTGAAGGCGTGTGAGGAGTTGTGCTTGAAGAACTGTTCTTGCAGTGGTTACACAAGTGCAGACATACGTGGAGGGACTGGTTGTGTCACTTGGCACGGTGAATTGGTGGACACAAGAGAGTATTCAAGTGGGGGCCAGGATTTATACATACGCGTTGATGCAGTTGAGTTAGGTATGCAATCAATTTTGAAAAGATGATATTTTAGTGATTTTTAATTGAGATCGCCGAAGTTGGTAGCAATCAATTCCAATTTTGAGTTTTTATTGTTTTAAATCTGATAGCTATGCAAATGAATCAAACTACGGATTTATTTCTTAAACAAATAAGCTGAGCTGGATTTAGCTTTTTTTTGGCTCATTTCATAGACAAGTCAAGTTTGAAAAATTATTCATCTTGAATAGACTTGCAAATCCATTATTGATGAGCTCGATTTGTCAATGTCATATGGGTCTTATTTTATTACTATTGTTATTTTTTTCTTCTTCTTGTAATTTAGACAATTTCCCTAGTTTGAAATGGATAAGAAAAGTAATAAAATATTATAAAAATAAAAACTCTTTTTACGATCTCATTAGTCGACTCGAGCTCGTTTCCTTGCAAACTTAATCATGTAAAATTGTCACAAGGCACAACCAAACAAATCTTTTGACCCAAAAAACAACTCGGAAGAATGATGTGATTTACAGTGAGGGTAATACTAAGAAATAGGACTATAGGAAAAGATCAAAATTAACAAATGTTGAGATGAAAAAAAAAAAAAAAAAAAAACTATGACAGAGTTTGATTCAATCGAAGTTATGGCAATGGATAAAATTAAAAGGGGGAAAGAAAATTCACAATCCCGTTTTTAAATAATTTAATGCAATTTTGTTGAGTTTCTAAATTTTACTTATATTGAAAGAACTATAATTTCTTCTAACAAGATATTGAAAAAAAAAGTTGATTTGTCTGCCTGTGAGGGATAGTTGAGTTCTAGGATGGTTATAAATTTTCCCTCCAAATTCACCTTTTTGTTATGTAATCGCTCGTGGCCTCTCTGCTTCTTTAGTTCCTTTAGCTTTTCGTTCTTTACTTCCTCGGTTTATTCTGTTTGCACCATGATAAATTTTGTAGTTATAAGTAATTTGATTTCAGCTAAGTCCCAAGTGGACCATACGAGTGTATGCATAGCTTACTACATACCAAATAAATATATGTAAACTATGTGATATCAATCGGGATGATTTCTTCTTTCCAGCTCAATATTCCAAGTCAAATGGCAATCATGGCAAGAAGGTGATGGTGGCAATTCTAGTAGTCTCCGTTGCTGTAGTGTTATTTCTTGTAACCTTCTTAGCATATTATTGTTTGGTGATGAAGAAGAGAAAAGGTAATTATTCTTCTAATTCATTTTATAATTGTTTTCAACCGAACACTGAACTCAACAGGTTCACTTTTCCTTTTCAATCACTCTGATACTTCCTTTTTGTAACGGAGCACGTGTAAGATTTCTTCGTTACACGTATTAAGCCTCACATTTCTCTGCATTCAGTGACAGGAAAAAGAGGAATGGACAACTTGTTATTTAGTCCAGCGTCGCCATTGCCTGACTCTTCAAGGGGAAATGAGCTCGCTGAAAGTGAAACAAGTACAGATTTACCCTTCTTTGATCTAAGCACCATAGTTGCTGCCACCGACAATTTCTCTTCCGCTAACAAGCTAGGACAAGGTGGTTTTGGCACAGTTTATAAGGTAGCTCCTTAGAAGTACATTGTAGTTATCTCTGAAAATTGTGTAACATAATCCAATTGTGTTTAAATTAATGAAATACTAACTGTAGTCACCATTATAAATGTCTTATGGTATGTTTTGGGTAGGATGGGCTTGAGTAGGATTTGAGTAAACTTGCACAAAGTTCCATTATCTGAAAAATAAACCAATTAACCTTGTAATTTGATTTCAGGGTCTGCTAAATGATGGACGAGAAATTGCAGTGAAAAGACTGTCAAAAAATTCGGGGCAAGGGGTGGAAGAATTTAAGAATGAAGTCACTCTGATTGCAAAACTTCAGCATAGGAATCTTGTTAGACTTCTAGGATGCTGCATTCAACAAGAGGAGAAAATGCTAATCTATGAATACTTGCCAAACAAAGGCTTGGACTCTTTTATCTTTGGTACATGCATGTTTTTTCTACTACTTTCATTTGGTTCATCTTTTACATTTGTACTTCTTGCCTTACCAATGAGATATATATTATACTTTCCAGTGTTTTTAATACGTTAATTTTGAATTATGGTGCATAATTTGATTTTTTTTCTTTCTTGGAATCAGATAAAGTTAGAGGCTCATTTTTGGACTGGGAAAAACGATTTGATATCATTCTAGGAATTGCTCGAGGAATGTTATATCTTCATCAAGATTCGAGATTTCGAATCGTCCACAGGGATTTAAAAGCCAGTAACATTTTACTCGATGCTGCTATGAACCCAAAAATATCAGATTTTGGAATGGCTAGAATTTTTGGAGGGGACCAGATTGAAGCAAACACGGTTAGGGTAGTTGGAACATAGTAAGCATGACAATTGACATGCATTTATATTATGGAGAGTGAAAGAGATATCCAAAATAAAACATTAAGCACACTAAACAATCTTTCATATTTTGTCTACAGTGGTTACATGTCACCGGAGTATGCAATGGAGGGATTATTTTCAATAAAATCCGATGTTTTCAGTTTTGGAGTTTTGCTGTTGGAGATCATTTCTGGCAGGAAAAACAGTAGTTATTATCAAGATAACTCTGTTAATTTAATTGGGCATGTAAGTAAAATGCATGTCATATATTTTAGAATGATTACTTGGATTTGAATACGATAATAGCAGAAATTGAAGAATAACATTGTTGTTTGATTGTTGGCCTTAAGATTATGCCTTAAACCGTTTCAGGTTTGGGACCTTTGGAAAAAAGGAGAAGACTTGGACATGGTTGATTCATCGTTAGGTGATTCGTATCAAGCCCATCGAGTTCAGAGATGCATTCACATTGCGCTTTTGTGTGTGCAAGAAAATGCCAGTGATCGGCCAACCATGTCGGCAGTTGTTATCATGCTGTCGAATGGAACAGTTCTTCCTCCTCCGAAACAGCCTGCGTTTATTTTTAAATCTAATACTGGTCCTGCGGACTCATCATCAGCTAGTGTTGGAGCTTATTCCGTAAATGATATTACAGTTACTATGGTTGGACCTCGCTAAAGGCTTTAGCTATCACAGATTATATCTTGGTCTGCCATTACAATTACAACTAGTGGTATGCTGACTAACTCAGTGTCTCGGATGGTAGGTATTGTATCTATTTGTTTTATAATAGTAATAATTTCATGGGTATTTCGTGTATTTGCTTACAACTGACTATCCTCGTGTAAGTTGAAGCAAACTCTTTGTTATTCCATTGAGATACATAATTTCTTATTCTTGGAATCCTTAGAGTCGGCTTAAGTACCACTTATGCGAAAAGAAAAGAAAAGAAAAGAAGGGGTCAATATATCATGTATTTTTATTGAGAAATGATACATCTTTCGACCTCAATTGTCAACTCATTCTTCGAATCTTAAAAAAAAATTCTGTAAACATCTCTTTCTTTTCGACTCATTCCCAACCACTTATTCAGAAGAAGAGTCGGTAATTGAGGTCAAAAGACCTGTCATTACTCATTTTTATTTTTCTCTTCTGTTGCCAAGAATTTAAGAACTTGTTCTTCTTAGAATCACCAAATGCCATGAATGGCAACCTAGTCAAGGAAGTTGTGTCAGGTGCATGGCTTGGTCGAAGATACTCAGGAAAAAGCAGTCAGTCAATTTTGATGAGTAGTGTTGTTACGGATTTTTTGGAGGGTATTTTGGTATATTCTGCATTTGTTATGTTACCTTAACCATAGTGCCAGATGTATTATGCTTGTAAAATCTCTATATTCTTGGGTGTGTTTGATCTATTTTTTTGATTAATTTTGGCAAGAAATATATCCTGAACCAAACAATTTCTATAAAAATGAACTAATCTTGTTTACAAGTTTCCTTTTTTATTATTATTATTTTTCTTCCACGCAATTTCAAGGCAATGAGAAAAGGGAAATTCTTAGTCTGAAAGTATCAAATTTAATCTAATAAGACCCATTCCCTTTTCAGCAATTTCTGGCTGGTAAGTTTCCATGGAGGTGTTAGTGCTATCTGTGAGCACAAGGCCTTCACACGACGACCCTGTCATCCATATATTAAATAAATCTCAATTCTTATTCTTCATGAATAGAAAATTGATTCTTTTATCCAATCAAAAAATGAAAAAAAAAATAAAAGAAAACCGATTCTTTTACTAAATTATTCCAAAGGTTTGGTCCCAATCTACTTTTTTAGACCGTCGTAGATCTCCTATTGACAATTTCACAAACAGCGACATCAATAGTGTCTTCACGAGGCCATTGTAAAGTTTCCATGAAGCTACTAACAAAAAGAGAGAAACAATGGGGAATGCAACTTCCTTGACTTGGTTGGCATTCACGGACTCAACTTCCTAGAACCTCATCAACTATATCTACTACTATTTATATGCATACACTATAAGTCTAAAATTTGTATCTACCAACATTCACAAACTCAATCAATTTAAGATCTGTAGCATTGCTAGGTTCCATTTTTCCAATGGAAGCAACAAAGGGGGTTCATTTTGAAGATTTCTTGCCGATTATAGCGGAAAAGCTAGGAGGTGAAGGGTTGATAGGAGAGCTGTGCAACGGGTTTCAGTTGTTGATGGACGGTGATAAGGGACTCATTACAGTTGAGAGCCTCAAGAGGAACTCTGCTCTTCTTGGGTTGCAAGATTTGAGAGATGAAGAGTTGGTAAATATGGTGAGAGAAGGTGATTTGGACGGTGATGGTGCTCTCAATCAAATGGAGTTTTGTGTTTTGATGTTCAGATTGAGTCCTCAGTTGATGGATGGAGCTGAGAGATTGTTAGATGAAGCTCTTTTACAAGATTTGATGCATAATTGATTTTCCTTTTTATTTATTTTTATTTTTTGCTTCTTAACTGGTGTTTTGAAAAAGATACATGTAAATTTAAGAGAATGGAATGAAGGTTGAACATGTTACTTCACTTATAATGCAAATTTCACTCTATTTTTGGTTATATAAAGGACCAATAATGCCATCCTCCAAGTCCAAAAATTTACAATCCATGAATACCATATCCTCAATGTAGATAAGATCTTGATTCATCAAAACCAGGATATAACCAAAAATAAAACATAGATGAGATGGTTTGCTAATGAGGTCATTCATCATATAGGGTTGTTTGTTCCATTTTTTATTGTCATCTACTCCCATGGAGGTTCATAATTGTTAGTAAGATTTTGTTTGTGTTGAGATATCTCCAGTTAGTATTTCCTTATTTGGCACATAATTCCTGTAAAAAAACCATTACTTAAATTAGTTTTTCGATTATAGTTCTAGCTTTACCAATTATTATTATTATTATTATTATTTTTAGCATGCTTTCTAACTTTTTGATCATGAAAATAGTATAAAAAAAAAATGAAGATTTAGGGCCCTTTAGGGGCTGCTTGGTTTTTTAGAATAGTTGTGTTGTTTTTTTTTTTTTTTCGAAAAATTATTTATTAAAACTCAATTAGAAAAAATGTCTATTTGGAGAAAAATGTCTTTTATAATTCTGGTAAAAAATAAAATATCAATTGCCTATGTTCTTCCCAAATTAGCCCTCCTTTTAATAATTTCAAGTTTTTGTTTCTCAAATTCTTTAATGTCTTTGACTATATATATATATTTTCACCCAAAGAAAGGAAGGGATCATAGGTTTTCCCTGATAAATTAATCAGGGTCTGTGCTGGACCTTAGTGTCATGGTCGTGGACTCTATTATCCTTGGGATAAGGATGCTGGTGAGGTGACATAAACGTTCTTTAATTTTGACAATACACGTGAGAAAAAGTCTTATTTTAACTTGGTGACAACTCATCTGTCATTCATTACTCGGTCCCTTGTGTTTCCGCACAATTCAATGGTTGGGGGAGTATGTGGCAACCACACGGCATTTAATTAATGTTGGCATGGTGGGCTATGTACTTATTCATTCGAATTCAGATATCACTTGTAATTACTAATGGCACATTATTATCAATTTCAAAATTTAAGTTATTAATTAGGGATAATTTTAGTCGGACACTCTTAGGTTCGGTCAAATATTAGTCTCAAATATTTTTCCAAAATAACTATCACCGACGTTATAAAGGTTTGTTCCGTTTTTTACTCACATACCAAAAGTTAGTTAACAGGTGTGTCAGATCACTTTTTACATGTAAAAAGACATTCTTATCCTTTGACTTTAGTTTGACCTATTTAATTATTTCTTTAATGATTCAAATGACATGTTTACCCTTTATATAAGATTAGGTTTTTGCTTCATTTATTTCACAATTTGTTAGAGTTTTAATTTGAATTATATATGTTTAGGTTTGTGAGAATTGCTTATTGCATGTTTATGTTTTTTCAGATTGATGGATTTGTATGATTTAGGAATTAATTGGTTGACAAAAATTCTAAATTTATTACTCCATTTATTTTTAGAGTGCTAACTGCTAATTAATTGGTTGATTTAGGAATTAATTGGTTGAATTTATATGTTTATTTATTTTTGTTAATTTTTTATTTATTTTTTTTCTGTTTCTGGATCCCCTCCCTCTCCGTTCTCTTTATCTCTCTTCTTTTTCTCTCTCTAATCTCTCAGGGCAGACAAGTCTTCGGTGTCGACACCATCAACGAAGACACCAACTCTCATGCCACCACCTTCTGCAACCCATTTGGTACGTTCGGTTACATCCGGTATGCCCAACCAATGTCGAAAACTCTCAAATAAACAGGTGGAGAGAGAGACAGAGAGATTGAGAAAGTGTAGGCATCGATGGTGGAAGTAAACCCATATATGTAGACCTAAATTGCAGAGGCACTGATGATGGTGCCAAAATAGTGGAAGAGATGCAGACCCAAATTATAGAGGCATCGACGATGAACCTATATTTGCAGACCCACTTGATCGGCAGTACGCAATTGGATGGAAGGTATATGGATTTGCTCGGTAATGTATGTGGATGGCTCTGGAACTTGGGCTTGATGGTACGAAATTTGGACTCTAGAAGGTTTTGTGTATTGTAGAGAAGAGAGAGAGACAGAGGAAGCATCCTTCAGATGGAGAGGAGAGAGAAATAGTGTGTATTGGCAATTAAATGATATAATTCGGAGTATAATAGTCATTTGGCTTGTTGATATTTTGGAATAAATGTGATTAAAAAATTAGGGGCAAAGTTGTCTTTTCTCATGTTTTTAACAGAGACCGTGACGAAAAAGCAAAAATGAACCTAAGTGATAGTTATTTTTGAAAAATGTTTGAAGCTGATATTTGGCCAAACTTGGGGGAGTATGAGTGAAATTAACCATATTAGTTAATATTGTAGCATAGCCCGCCATGCCTACATTAATTAAATGATGCATGGTTGCACGGGCGGATCCAGGAATTTTCAGTGGGGTGGGCTAAAATTAAACATAAATTTAATAACACAATTTATTAAGCAAATTTTTTTATAACATAATTTAGATAAATATTTAAATTCAAATATTACAAAATATCTATCTAAGTTGTGCTCGACGAGTCTTTAAAGACTCGAATTCGTCGATAATAAATTTCAAGTAAAATTTTCAAACAAGGTCCCGTACGGTCATGCAATCAGCAAGAAATTTATCTCCCATCGTGCTATATTTTAACACGTTTGATATTTGATTTTTTTTTTTTAATTTTAAAGATTGAATTATTATAAATTTTGTTTGTGGTTTTATTTTATAAATCAATTTAAAATTCTAACACTTACCCATCTATATTTGTTTTTTTTTAATTTGTAGTGAGTTAGTAACCTTTGATTTGTGAATTATTGGATTTAGATATTTTCTTTTATACTAATATTCCTTGTCTACTAGAGATCAAAATCATAAAATTTTCGTAATTTATAATGCCATAGATTTTTTTTGTTTATTTGTTGAATACTTTCTAGATTAACACAGGAGTTCTGTTTATTTTTCATGATGATTTGAAAATATTGAAATTATGAATTTATTCTATATATATAATTTCAGAACTGCCTTTACAACAATTTTATTTCAAAATATATTTTACTTCATATCAATACTCATCATTAATACGGCTTGTTAGGTTTGGGCCTTTATTTTAGTATTGTACATTAGCTGACTTGGACTTATTTAGGTGGGCTAATATTAATAATAATTTTTTTTTTTTGGACTGGGCTAAAAATACCCATAGTAATTTAAAAAAAAAAATTGGGGTGGGTTGGAGCTCAACCCAGCCCTACACTGGATCCGCCAATGCATGGTTGCCACATACTCCCCACCAACCATTGAATTGTGAGGAAACGCGAGGGACCAAGTGATCAATGACGGTCATATGAGTTGTCCCCAAATTATTCATTCGAACTCAGATATCACTTGTAATAAATTTAATTTATTAGGTAATACTGTGGTCTATCATTTTTTATAAGTCTTAAATCCTCTCCATCTGAATTCGATATATCCTTTCTTGACCTCAAGACCCATATATCGGCAATTGTGGAGTTCATGGTAGTTAGTAAGGATGAAGTAATAGGTACAAACTTATTGTAACGGGTGAGACGAGTGCTTATCCAATTATTTAAAAACTTAAGTTATTGAATAGTACTACATATTCACCTATTTATACATACTTTGACTCCCAGTTACATCTGATGTGGAATAAGTCCCACTTGTAACACTCACCCATTTTGAAATGTGACCCAACTATTTTCTGTTAATAGAATTATTTTCATTAGCTATTTCAATTATTCAAATTTAAAGAAGGTGATAATATTGCATGCTAGCTAGCTATAACCATATATTATAATCAACGTTACTTAAGTGTCACCGCCTTATAATTCTAGGTTCGGATTCTATTTCCCACTAACTACTCCTAACTCTCTAACCACATAAAAATGAAAATTTGTTGATACGCAAACGCAAAATTAATTGACATGTGAGATCAAGAGAGCAATTTCCATGCATATAAATATCCCATAACCATATTCTTTGGATTAGCTGAAGCAAATTAATATATATTTTGCTTATGCTGCTTACTTCTCATAGAGATCGTCCAGAAACTAATTAAATACGAAAGTAAAAAAGAAAAATATAGATCGAAAAGAAAATTTCTGGTAGACCATCAGGGCCGGCGCTGAGATTAAAAAAATCTTAAGAGGCCTAAGCGAACTTTAAATGTGAGGCCCTTGAATCAATTATTTTTTATTTTTATTTTTTTTTCATGCCCATATTCAAATTTTCTTGTAGACATAATTGTCAATAAATAAATAAATAAATAAAAACCCGAAATATAAGTTATATAAATAAAAAAATATTTGTTTTGCTTAAATAAAATATATATTACCTCAATGCAATGCAATGAATTGATCCAGGTTGCCGAAATAATATATATATTATCTCAATATATATATATTATCTCAATACAATGATTTGTTTTTCTAATTGATTTGTCCTTAAGACTTCAAGTGAAGGATTGCTGGATTGAAACACCGGTATTACAATAAATTCATTTGTCAAACAATAATTCTACAAGAACTTCCAACTTCATGCATTCTAATCTATGAAATAATAATTTTATTAAAAAAAAATTGCTAATCTGTGAGAGAATTACTCCACTTCCTAAAAAAGTTGGGAGGAAATAATCAAAGAATTACAAATGTGTCTTAGCGCAACGATTTCCCTTATAGGAACACGTTGTTTTTGCCGAGTCAAAGTAAAATATCTTGAACCAATTTTTTATGCCCAATCAAAATGAATATCTTGAAATTTAAATAAGAGGAAACACAATCAACATAAAATTAAACTTAAAAAAAAAAATAAAAAATACTTTGCTGAAAGAAAATATAAATTACCTCAATGGCTTAATATGCAATAATATGATTTACAGAAAAGAAAAAAAAAAAAAAATACCTCATGAAATCCAAATCCTAAAAATGCACCTGCAACAGATAATATTATATCAGTCAGAATAGAAAAAATCAGTCAATCAAAATAATAAAAAAATAAAAGAAAAAAAATGATTTACATGGAGGAAAAAAAAACCTTTGTAAAAATTGAATAAGTAGTTACAGTCTACAGAGACAGAGTTCAGTTATGGAAAAATGAAAATCCGAAACAAGAAACTGAGGAGCCAACAACCAAGAGTGTTCTGTATTTTTTTTTTCGGAAAGTAAGAATATTATGTGTTTGGTTTGCACTTAACTGTAAGCTTGTACCTAGTATGATGATCATATGTATAAAATATATACAAAGTATAAGAGAGATTTGACTACTCAAAGGGCAGAAAACGTATAAATAAACTTTTTACTATTCAACGGGGAACAAATATATGAGGTTGTGTGACTACTATAAAGAAAAAGACATAAAGAGAAGAAAAAGCAAAAGGCATGAGATAGTGATCATATGATTCATATTAAATTTTGTCAATGAGAGATACTAAGATGGACTAATAATATTTAAGGCTTTTTAAAGTTTTAAGTCAATTGCCTCAAATTTTTATTATTTATTTATTATTATTATTTTTTTTAAGCCTATCATCAGTGGGCCTGCAAAATTTGAGACCTTATAAATCTTGAGGCCCTAGTCGACCGCCTTAGTCGCCTTGGGTCACGCCCTGTAGACCATGCACTATACTACAACTACTACAACTTTGGTCACCTGAATTTGTGACTTTGTGGTTCACATTTGGGTTGGTCTGGGCTTGTAATTTCTTCTTGGGCTGGGCCTTGTATATGGCCTTCTGTGTATGTTTACATTGGAACCTCCCAAAAAAAATCATATGCTTTTTTTTTTTTTCAAATACTGGAGTCAATTACATAGATCATATGTTTTCGTTTTATTTAAAGTCATAACCTTAGTCAATCTACATGATATCATATCATTCATTTCTTAGTAATTGTACTCATGTTAACTTTGAATTTTCTCCTCCTTCTGTTACTTGTGGATTATGTAACTTTTTCTAACTGGTGCACTTAAAAGTCTTCTTTATACATGTTCAAACCATTTTAATTAAATTTTTTTTTTTTTTTTTCAATTTGTGCTACTCCGATCATTTCCCGAAAGTGATCATTTTAATTCTATCATTTTTAGTCTAACTCCATTTGCCCACATAAAACTTTGTCAGGCCAATATGAACATTAATCATATGAAAACCAAGCATTATAAGCTTCCTAATCTGTACATTTACCATGTATGTACCACAAATATCATATATAGATATTTATCTCACAATTGTTCTTACATTCATATATAGTCCAAGGTTCGCCATATCGGTCGCGATTACGAACACGGTCGTGGTGTAACAGAATCAAGTTTGCATCGACGTTACATAACGGAATCGGTTCTCACTGTTGTGAATTTTTTTCGATCTCGCACATAAGATCCAAAATAGATGGATACACAAATTTGTACCACATAATTTGATGAAAATAGATTTTTAATGAATTTTAGTGAATTTTATTAAATTTTTAAAGCCCATTTAATATGAGTATGTTATTTATAAATGGTAACTCATTGTATTTATTTCAAAATCTTAGTAATTATATTCTTACTAAATCAATGTAAAAATGAAATAATATTTCTACCATGCATAACAGACCCAAGTCACATAATGTCCCTCCCACTTGACTTAAATTTTTGCTGCTTTCCGCTCCCCCTCCAGCAACGTGACTTTAGTAACAGACTCCATCGGCAAAGAGAATAGCTCGGGCAGCAGAGAGAGAAAGGTCTTCATCTTTGCTTCTTGAAAATGGTGAATAAAAACATAAACGTAACAAATTCACATAACTATAGAGCTTTAAAGGTGTATTATATATTTTATGTCAAAACAATATATATTCCCTTGCAGCATCCAAAACGTATATGTCGGAAGTTGGTATGATGTTGTGCAATGAATCGGATCTTCCTCCTAAACAAGCTGCATTTATTTATAGAACTAATAATGGTCCAGACTCATCACCAGCTGCTGTTGGAGCTTGTTCCACAAATGATGTTACAATTTCTATGGTGGAAACTCGCTAAAGGATTTAGCTCAATGTCTCGAAATCTTATGTATGGTATTTATATTGTGTATATGTAATAATTCACCAAGTATTTGGTGTATTTTCTCACAACTGATTAGCTTAATGTAAGTTGAACCAAATTCATTCAATGTGTAGTTAAAGTCCCACTGTTGACAATGAGGCTACTGCAGAAATTTCAAATACAATCTACATTGTAGTTATAAATCAAAATTAACTACCATTCAAAATGATCTGCATCACAACCACCAAGAAAATTCAATGAAATAGATTTTTTTTTTTTTTTTTTTTTTGATAAATAAATGGAGCAGGAGCTATGAAAGTCCACCAAGGAAAAATATACAGCTTTGAATACAAGTAATATAGGTAAACAGAACTCTAAAATATATTATTAATCAATGAATAATTGTCTATACTGACAAGCATTGAATGGATTATATGATGCAGCTAGCCTAATGTATGTATATTGTGCTTAAGTGATGCAGAGAGTCATGAACACATTTTTCATCAATGTTCACTCGAAATTTGTTTGGAATAGAATTCAGCATAAATGTGGGTTTACTACAAACCCTAGTTCTTGGCAAAATTTCTTAATTTGGACATCTTTAAGTTGGAAGCAAAAAGCTAAGGATTGTAAAATACTTATTTAGAAGTTAATGCTAGCAAACTTTGTCTATCACATATGAAGGGAACACAATAACAAAATCTTTCGAAATTTGAGTGGTGATCCATCCAAGACACTCAGTGCAATTGCAAGTCGGTGAGATACAAATTGTTCTTCATCAAGAAATGTTCATGTCCACATGCTCAATAAATTGCAAAGGATTGGAACCTACCTAGCTCCTACTACCAACCTCTTCCACTCCTTTCACTCTACCGAGACACTTTAGATCTTGTTGATGAATTTCACATTGGGCCAACTATTTGGACAATGCGAATGTGTTTTTTTGGTTTTGGGCTTGTTGCCTTTCTTTTGTTGTTTGTTTTGCTTTGGGCTTATGGCTCATGTACAGTTGTAATATTTTCTCCTTCATTGCATACTTTTTTACCCAAAAAATAACAATAATAATAATACTGTAATAATTATGTTCTCAGCAGTAATAATGAAGATTTCTAATTGCAAAAGGAAGCTTAACATTATTATAAGGAAAGCTGTAATAAAAAAATAAAAACTCAAAATTGAACTTTTTCTAAAAATTACAAAAAAAAAAAAAAAAAAAAAAAAAGAAGAAGAAGAAGAAGAAGAAGAAGAAGAAGAATAAAATACCTAATCGTAGAAATTTCTAAATACCAAAAATCAAAAGAATTTAGACACAACAATAAAAAAAAAAAAATTCCAAAATATGGCAATGCTTCACTTGAATAATTATTGCAAACATGCTCAAGAAAAATTATTCTTCTTAAAATAATGTATTCTTCTTAAATAAATTGCTTGCTGGTTTCCAATTTATTTATTTATTATATTTTTTCAGGCAATTTCAAGCACAGTTTCCTCTGTCTTGAAAAGGAAAATTCTTAGTCTGGAAGTATCAAACTTAATGTAAAGAGTAAAGACTACTCCCTTCCCTTTTCAGCCATTTCGGCCAGGTAAGTTTCCATGGAGGTGTTACCTGTCATCGATCACAAGCTATTCACATGACAACCCTGTCCTATATAAATTTAATACTACTAAATCTCAATTCTTATTCTTCATGAATAAAAAATTAATTGATTCTTTAATAAAATATTCCAAAGCTTTTGGTCCCAATCTACCTCATTAGACATTCATAAATTTTCTATTGACAATTTTACCCTACACCGCCATCAATGTCGGCCTAGACTCGTATTAGACACTCCTTTAGTGTGTCCAAAAGGCCATTGTAAAGTTTCCATGAAGCTACTAACAAAAGAGAAAACAATAGGAATGCAACTTCCTTGACTTGGTTGGCATTCAAGGACTCAACTTCCCAGAACCTCATCAACTATATCTACTACTACTTATATGCAAACACTATAAGTCTGTAATTTGTATCTACCAACATTCACAAACTCGGTCAATCAATTTAAGATCTGTAGCATTGCTAGGTTCCACTTTTCCAATGGAAGCAACAAAGGGGGTTCATTTTGAAGATTTCTTGCCGATAATAGCGGAAAAGTTAGGAGGTGAAGGGTTGATCAGAGAGTTGTGCAACGGGTTTCAGTTGTTGATGGACGGTGATAAGGGACTCATTACATTTAAGAGCCTCAAGAGGAACTCTGCTTTTCTTGGGTTGCAAGATTTGAGAGATGAAGAGTTGGTGAATATGGTGAGAGAAGGAGATTTGGACGGTGATGGTGCTCTCAATCAGATGGAGTTTTGTGTTTTGATGTTCAGATTGAGTCCACAGTTGGTGAATGGAGCTGAGAGATTGTTAGATGAAGCTCTTTTACAAGATTTGAAGCATAAGTGATTTTCTTTTTTATTTATTTTTGTTTTGTTGGTGGTTGAAAAATATATATTCGAACTCAAGTATGATAATGAAATAGAATCTCGATCTTTTTCTATGCTGTTTTGTGCTACACAGCAATAACTTTGTATTAATTGTGCGCCTGTATATATATATATATATATGAGGGCGGAGTCAGGATTGAATTTTAAGGGAGACGCATTCACAAAAACAAAAAAATCCAACTAACATCATAATTTTTATTTTTTATTTTTTTCAAATCAAAAGGCAAACAAAAATCAATTTGTTGATATTGATTTGTTGAACTGAAAATGACCGTTAAAATACTGGGCAAATATAAGAACCAAATATAAATTTTGATAATATTTTCTTTGAATATCAAAATAAACATTCACAAATTGGAAGCATAGATTTTGAAATTCAAACCCAAAATGTTGACACACGACACAAAAAAGTCCGCATACAATTGATATACATACCATATCTTACAAATTGTAATTTTCTTTTTATATATATTTACAATCAAAGTATGATAAAAACTAAAATAAATGTGAATCATGTGAAATTCTTTAAAAATATATATATATATATATATATATATATATATATTTAAGTGATTGTGGTTCAGTGGAAAACTTCAACCAAATTGCAAAACTCGCACTCTTTTATTTTCTTTGAGAAAAATATAAACGTCCAACAAGGCATGATCCATGTTTATATGTTTGCTTCTACTTAATTGGAGAATGTATTAAGTATTCTAGGGAGACCAACATTGTAATATACAGACGAATTGTTAATATTTAATTTTAATTATTAAGGGAAATATATTATTATACATTGACTGTTGGTACTATATAGTTGGCATATGAGGATGCTCAATATTTTTGACCTAAATTGTATGGGAGGTGGGAAATATATAATTTTTAATTAAATTATATTGGTTAGGTGAATTTATTCACATTGGTGCCCACACCCTTGGACTCATTTCGGAGAAAGTTTAGGAAGTAGGAGAATATATCAGTGAAGTCGAACAATGATTTTGGTGGTATTTTGAATAATTTATAATGACATAAAGCAACTATTTCATAGAGTTTATTCACCCGAAAAACTAAAAAGACTATTTCATATATTTTTCATGGTGGTTGAGACGCTGATCATTTTGAAGGTTCAATACCGTCATTTTGAGTGGTGCAAAGCTTAAAAAAATTTGAGAGTGATAAAAAATTTATAACATAAACATTGATTTCGCTGCTGTTTCTGTTCCTACTCCTACTTTTATGTGACTTATGTTGAAAAAATGGTAAGTTCCACATGTCAAGGCTCAAGTCTGACCCAACACTTAACATTCATGTTTGGTGCGGATGTGTAGAGCCCGAAAAGGGTATGGCCCCGAGGCCCAACAATGCCAAAGACGAAACTATGAGCAAAGAGCTCAGTCCAAACCCAAACCAACCTAGTACAAGCCTAGAGTCCAGATTTCACAACCATTGACTGTTGGTCATTATTCTTCCAAATCTATCAATTTTAGAACTTGCAGCAGAGAGCCAGCGAGACAAGCAGGGAGCTTCCCTTTGGAGGTGGCCGGATTACAGAAGCCGGCAGCTCCCATTCAGAGATGATGTGTCTAGCGATTGTTGAATCAATAAAGGAGCAGGACATCAACTTTAATATCACAGTATCAAGGGTAATGTTGGAAAACTGAGGAATCCAATCTCCATTTTACTTTCATGACTCTTCTATTCCTTTCATACCAAATGTTGTATACAACCGAAGCAAAACATAGCTTGGAGATGGAAGCTCTTTAATTGGTTGGCTTAGCATTCCACTGAATGGATCCCCATCCAACCGTTTCAAGCCACTAGGAGGGCAATTTATAAAACCCACGACGTGTTTGAATGAATGACCAAATGGGACGAACAAAGGAGCATTGGAAGAAAAGATGGTCATGGGACTTCAGGCATGTCTGAGCAGAGTTTACATAGATTTGGGCCTCGTCCATGAGCCATATGTTTCCCATCTAGGGTGGACAATCGAACATGGCAAGCCATCCACATAATGAAGTTATGTTTAGGAATGGAAGGCTGTGACCAAATTAAGGCCGGCCAATGGAGAGTTGGTCTGTTCTTGTGGATGGATTTGGAAGTGCTAGCAATTGAGACTATTTCAGTATGTCAGCCCTATGTGAACGAGGACTGGGTAGTAATGCTTGGTTACCCAGTTCAGGAATGAGACTTATGATTGAGTGTGGGAAGGCCCATGGTGAATCAGCAATGATTCAATGAAGGTAGTGAGAGATGTGGTGGAATCGTAGGAGGAATCATTTCGCTGCTGGGATGAGATTCTGAGGTGTAATGGGCCAAGTGAGCACCAACTATCAAACCAAAAATTGGAGTTGAGGCCATTTCCAATTTCGAGCTTGACAATATCTTCCTCCAATTCCAGGAGCATTGTCCAGGTATGTTAACCTCCCAGATGCTTCTTCCTCTAAGTAGATATGTGTTGATCCATTGAAATTTGAATCCATAACATGTTCTTAGAGCATATAATGTTCCAGAAATGTTTCATGATGGCACACTTGTTCCATATGTGGAGATTGAGATTGTATAACTTGTAGGTACATGTTTCTTCATATTATAATTTGAAAAGGTATCAAAACTTTATACTTTTTATTATTATTATTATTATTTTGCTAATAAATTTAACCTAACACCAACTATTTTAATTTTACTTGGCAAACCTCATGGAAAGTCACCGTATTTAAACCGACTTTTAAACCACCTCTGTCACAAGTTTGGTTAATAACTACCAATACCATCATGCCACCAAAGAATAAACCATCCAATTGCAACCTTAATTATATGTTGTATGAATAATATGTTATAAAAATATATAAGTTATAATTTTTTATTGTTTCAAATTACTAGGGTTGCTCGGGTTAGTAAAATCTTTACCCAAATCCATTTCAGGCAAGACTTGGGTTGCTCGGGTTATAAGGCCCACCCAAGTTCCACCCCTAATTGCAGGAATTTACTTCAACTTGTACGAGGCTAGTACTCAGCTGTGAGAATATACACTAAATGCTTGTATGAAATTATTACTAATAAACAAAATAATACCACAACACAAAATTTCGAGATATTGAGCTAACGTCCAAAAGTCATAGGGAAATATAATGTTAGTCAGCATGTATAGTGCTACTAGTAATGGCAGACTAAGGTACAATATGTGATAGTTAAAGCTTTCAGCGACCCTCAACCATAGTATCTGTAATATCATTTATGGAACAAGCTCCAACATCAGCCGATGATGAGTCTGGACCATTATTGGGTCTTCTAGAAATAAATGCAGGCTGTTTAGGCGGAGGAAGAGAAGTTTCATTGCACAACATAACATCAACTGCTGACATGGTTGGCCGATCTCTGGCGTGTTCTTGCACACACAAAAGTGCAATGTGAATGCATCTTAGAACTTGATGAGTTTGATATGACTCACCTAACGATGAATCAACTATGTCCAAGGATTCTCCTTTTCCCCAAAGGTCCCAAACCTGAAACAGTTCAAAACAAAATCTGAAGGCCAACAATTAAGCAACAATATTATTTGTTATGAATCTAAAAACTATGACATGCATTTTACTTACATGTCCAATCAAATTCAGATAGTTCTCTTTATAATAACTGCTGTTTTTCCTGCCACAAATGATCTCCAACACTACAACCCCAAAACTGAAAACATCAGATTTTATTGAAAATAATCCTTCCATTGCATACTCCGGTGACATATAACCACTGCACACGTAATATATAAAATTTTGTTAGTGTACTTAAATATTTTACTCTGTAAATCTCTCTCTTCATAACATGAATGCATGTGCTTCTTACTATGTTCCAACCACTCTATTTGTATTTGCTTCAATTTGGTCCCCTCCAAAAATTCTAGCCATTCCAAAATCTGATATTTTTGGGTTCATTGCAGCATCTAGTAAAACATTGCTGGCTTTTAGATCCCTGTGGATGATTCGTAATCTCGAATCTTGATGAAGATATAACATTCCTCGAGCAATTCCTAAAATAATATCAAACAATTTTTCCCAGCCCATCGAAGACCTTTTAGCTTCATCTGATTCCAGAAATTAGAAATTTCGAAATTAATGTATAAAAAACATTGGAAGTACATATACATCTCATTGATAATGCAAGAACTATAATGAAAAAGATGAGCCAAATGAAAGTTGTAGAAAAAACACATATGTACCAAAGATAAACGAGTCCAAGCTTTTGTTTGGCAAGTATTCATAGATTAACATTTTCTCCTCTTGTTGAATGCAGCATCCTACAAGTTTAACAAGATTCCTGTGCTGGAGTTTCGCAATCAGCGTAACTTCATTCTTAAATTCCTTTATCCCTTGTCCCGAATTTTTTGATAGTCTTTTCACAGCTATTTCTTGTCCATTATGTAGCCGGCCCTGAAATTGATTATATTAATTTTCTGATAATGGCAATTTTGTACAAGTTTACTCTCAGCCTATTCAAGCCAATCCTACCTTGAACATAAAGTTAAATTTGCTTTACTTTAAACACAATTGGATTAAGCTAGCTACGCAATTTTGAGACAACTATTATGTACCTTATAAACTGTGCCAAAACCACCTTGTCCAAGCCTGTTAGCAGAAGAGAAATTGTCTGTGGCAGCTACAATGGTGCTCAGATCAAAGAATGGTAAATCTGTACTTGTTTCACTTTCAACAAGCTTATTTTCACTAAATGACAAGTTTCCCATTCCCCTTTTTCCTGTCAATGAATTATACAGTAAGTATATCAGGCTCAATATTCGTAATGAAGGAACTGAGTGACCCAGCTATGAAACGATCTGGTGCCTATTTGGCAACGATTCCTGTTTCATGTTTTCGCTGCCAAATCGGTCAAAAACACAATCAAGTGGCTCAAGTATATATATATATATATATATATATATATATATTTTTTTTTTTTTTTCTTTTTCTTTTTTTGTGTACTGCCAAGAAAGTCACACATAGGCATTGCTGCTTAGTGTCTTGAACATTGGACCTTTTACTTTCAAAAGTGAGAAAGTAACGCT